TCGTTTGCCCACTTTTGAGATTTTTAGAACAACATGTGGAAACTCCTTTTAGATACTTGTGTTTCTGCTTGATCTAACTATGACACAGTTGAAGAATCAAATGAAATAAACATCTTCTCTCAGAAGATAGAAACGTTGAAGGAAATTTCGTGAATTTAACATGAATGAGGCAGCGCGACTTTAAAGTACCGGAAACAGTAGTAGATTCTTAACAATTCACAATCAGTGTCTCCTCATTGTTAACGACTTATTACACTTGACATCTGTTTAGTGGCGTAATAAGCCATCATTGGTTTAACAAAGTACCGTCTTTTCGAATGCAAATGCCATTGTGTCTAAGTTTATGTATATTCATCGAACGAGATCACCACCTCTCCGCTTTTACTAATACGATGCAGGACTTATCGCCAATCTTGAGTTAAATGCACTTAATGTTGAGGAAAATACATTATAAATGGTTCTGAAGGTCTGGCGCATATTAGCAGCAAGTTCGTGATTTTTTCCTATTGAACGCTTTAAAAGTACAACTTTTTCACTTGTTTTTCGTGTGTCAAAGACAAACTTAAAAATGCATTGAACTTTGCAGTCAATGCGCGGGAGGATTAAGAAAATTTTGGCGTACAAGCAAGTGGGTTTCCAGACGTTTATTCAGTTTCTTTATTTAAGAAGCTTTCTGTGATTTCTTTTATTTTTAGTGTTTGGGGTTTCAGTTTTAATTTTTCTCGAAATGAAGCGAAATGCAAGAAACATGTGAAGCCAAAAGCGTATAAAAAAGTATCAAAGATTATAAACTAAAAATTGTATCCGAATCATCGTTTATCGCAATTTCAGTTAAAGCTGGCATAAATTAAATTTAGAAAAAATACAGAAAAAAATGCTTTGAAGAAGAGGTCGATCTAGTTAAGTCTACAGCTTCTACCGGTCGAAAAAAATCAGCAAGTCACTTTTTTGAGTAGTTGTTTACCGGAACGATTGATATCTGAATCTCACGTTAAACCATCAACAATTATCAGCGCTACCGTTAAATCCAATCAACTTAACAGGTCAGAGACCTTGATTGCACGTCGTTCGCAAACGTACAAAGTGATGTTACAATTATGATTTTGATTGACTGGTTATGGCCTTAAATGGACTACAGTTCCGTGACCGAAGTTGCCTGGTCATTTTTCTCCAAACTGTCCATCCTGTTTCGGCTTTGCAGCTTCTTCTTCGTTATTCGGCACTTTTGGAACTTATGTTGCTACATTTGTTCAATTTATTTTTTCTATCTATTTCATTGTTGTTTATCCAATATTAATGAGTTGTATGTTCGTGTCTATTAGGATTTTTTAGCGGCGAGGGAAAATACAGGAGAAATGCCCCTTTTGTAAATTCTTTGGTATTAAACACTTTCGGACTGTGGAATTTTTTCTCGAGGTTTTGACATATAAATCGGGGTCAACAAAGTAAGATTTTAAGTTGAATTTTTTTGAAACTAACCCGCCATCTGGGATTTTGAACACTTTGTAACAGAAAGTTGGAAAAATTGTACAAAATCAACGGGTAGTTGGAATTGATTGGAACTTAGCATGCTCAGAAAGTGTGTATTTTACCATTAAAGTCCAGAATTTCAGTCTTTGCGCTGTTGGCGTTTGGGAGTTATTAATTTTTAAAAGTGGACATGCAAAACTGCGATTGGTGAAACTTTTCACAAACAGGAAGTTTGGAAAATTCCACAAAATCCATGGAGGTGGAATTGATTGAAACTTTGTTCACTTAGAACGTTAATATTTTTCTATAAAAGCTCATAATTTCGGCCTTTGAGCTGTTGGGGTTTGAGAGTTATTAATTTTGAAAGGTAGACATACAAAACTGCGATTGATGAAACTTTTCAAAAATAGGAAGTTTGGAAAATTCCACAAAATCATTGGGGAGTTGGAATTGATTGAAACTTTGTCCACTTAGAACGTTTGTATTTTTCTAGAAAAGTTCACAATTTCAGCCTTTGAGCTGTTGGAGTTTGAGAGTTATTCATTTTGAAAGGTAGACATGCAAAACTGCGATTGATGAAACTTTTCAAAAATAGGAAGTTTGGAAAATTCCGCAAAATCATTGGGGAGTTGGAATTGATTGAAACTTTGTCCACTTAGAACGTTTGTATTTTTCTATAAAAGTTCACAATTTCAGCCTTTGAGCTGTTGGGGTTTGAGAGTTATTAATTTTTAAAGGTAGACATGCAAAACTGCGATTGATGACACTTTTCAAAAATAGGAAGTTTGGAAAATTCCACAAAATCATTGGGGAGTTGGAATTGATTGAAACTTTGTCCACTTAGAACGTTTGTATTTTTCTA